GCCTTTGACAAAAAAAATCCCACATCTGTGCCAGGTGGTTCACACCTATAATCCTAGCTACTCAGGAGTTTGAGATTTAAGGATCACAGCTCAAAACTAGCACAGGCAGGAAAGTCCAAAAGACTCATATCCAGTGAACCACTAGAAAACCAGAAGTAGAACTATGGTTCAAAAGTAAAGTGCTAGCCTTGCCCTGATGGATGATAGACTAAAAAAAAAAGAAACCAGTATCTGTTCACGTTAAAAGTTCTGGAGAGCCAGAAGGGACAGCATGTGCTTAGAGCATATGAAGCCATGGGTTCAATTCCCAGCACTCACCCCCCCAAAAGAGATGTGCAACAGAGATTCCTAGGCATGTCAACACAGTGGAAAAGCTGCAAGCCAAGGTAAAAGCTCACACTCCCAAGAGCCAAATCTGCCAGCACCTGAACTTTAAATTTCCTGTCTTTACCACCTTGAGAAACACAATTTTGGGGCTGGGGGTTTAGCCCAGCGGAAGGGCGCCTGCCTGGCACGCGCAAGGCCGTGGGTTCGGTTCTCAGCCCTGGTTTAAAAAAAAAAAAAAAAAAAGACACATAAAGCTACAAGAGAAACACAATTTTGCATGAGTTACCCACCCAGACCATGGTGTCTGGTTACGACAGCTTAAACCAAGAACTAAAATAAAACAGATTCTAAGCAAGTCATGTATGATAAGCCTTAGAACCAACACCTGGGAACTAATTCAAAAATACAAGACAAGTAGGGTGCTGGTGGCTCCCGCCTGTCATCCTAGCTACTCTGGAGGCTGAGATCTGAGGATCGCAGTTCAAAGCTAACCCAGGCAGAAAAGTCTGTGAGACTCTTATCTCCAATAAACCACTAGAAAATCGGAAGTGGTGCTGTGGCTCAAGCAGTAGAGTGCTCACCTTGAGCTGAAGAGCGCCGGGACAGCGCCGCCAGAGTTCAAGCCCCACAACCGACCAAAAAAAAAAAAAAAAAGACAAGACATTTACAATAGACAATACTGATTTAATGCAAAAAACAAAAATTGCACTCTACCTCCTCTCATTTCAGAAGTTCTGAAGAGTTTTCGCTTTCTGATTCTGCTTGTTCTCCCCTTTCCCTTCGGCATGTTAAAACTGTGGTTTCTGTGCAGCTGGCTGCTCGATCTGAAATGAATAGCAATATTTACTTAACTGTTTGTTTTTAAATAATCCAGACTGAGCTTTTTACCTTTGAGTATGCAAACTTACATTTTGATAGCCTTTCTCTATGGGATTTTTGTACACCAAGGCTTTGTACCCATAGCTAAATCAGGACTGCTGTAATAACAATGTGCATCACTCAGAATGCCTGATTTCATTTTGGGGTCCTACTGAATGATGATTAATCATGAAAATTCTCACAGCTGATTCCATAAACATGTTTGGGTGAGTTCCCCATCATGATCTTAATCAACATCTACTAAAGAACCAACTGAAGTAAGAGTTTACAGTTTAAGCTGGACTCCAGTAGTTCACAACAGTAATCAATGCTAACTACTCGGGAAGCTGAGATCCTGCAAATTGAGGTTTGAAGCTAATTTGGTAAAGAATAAGTCTACAGAAGTCTGCCCAAACTATCCAGCAGAAAGCTGGAGGTGTGGCTCAAGTTTGAACCATATTTTTTTTTAATTTACTGTTTGCTAAAATAGACAGTAATGATGAAATGCAATCATCCATGACTACTTTGGGAAAAAACAAACTCCTCTGAACATGCTACAGACTGGTTTAGACTCCAAAATTGCTAAATACAATTAAATGGGTGTTTGCAACAGATTGGAAACTAGAGCCGAGAGCAAACCACCCAGAAATGATCCTAAGATCCAAAGTAGCTACTGGTTTCAAGATGCTTCTTCCTTAGAAGCATAAAAATGAAATCCATTAAATACACCAGCACAACACAAGTAAGAGCGTAACTACTAGAACAGGAATTAATGCAGATACTATTATTAGACGCAAAAGCTAAAATGTCAACATGTCCATGACAAACTAGTAAAAAATATAAAACCTGCAGACCTTTTGGGTCTGCTTTTGAACACGGTATACATAATAAATGGTTTAAAGCAGCTTATCTGGAAACATATTCAAGACAAGGGCTTTTGTTGTTACTCTGCTATCCTGCGATGCTAGGTGCTTATATATAAGCACAAAAGTGACTTGTGCCTATTACCCACGTTGACAGTGTGTGTGGTAACGCTGTCCCCAGTGTGGGGCTGGGCGGATTCTGCGGTACTGGGGCTTGAACCCGTTCACGTGGCTGGCACAGCGCCTTCCCCCAGCCCAGCTTTGTGCCGGAGATGATGTCTCTGGGACTTTTCTTCCCGGACTGGTCTCAAAAGGCCGTCCTCCGTAACTCAGCCTCCAGCGTGGCGAGGATTCAAGGCCTGGGCCACCCGCGACGACGCGGAGCGCTCACCTCCGGCCTAGCCAAGCTTGGAGCCCAGGTGCTGCGGGGCCGGGGCGCCCCGAGCTCGGTCCCGCAGGGGCGGCGCCGAGGCGGCGCGGGGGCCTCCCGCGGCCCGGCCCGGCCCGCCTCCCCGCAGCGCCCGGTGCTCCCGCCGCGGCCCCCGCGTGCCGGCCGGGCCGCCTCCACGCCGGCCCGGAGCCGCCGAGCCAGCGGCACTCGCTAACTGGCGAAGGGCCAGACGCGCCAGGCGGCCGCGGAGCCCCGTTCTCTCAGACTCCACCGCGCCCAGGAAGCCGGAAGCCTCACCGGGAGTACTTCCGGCTCACTTCCGCACTCCCGGGGCGTCCTGTGAGCGGGCCCCCGGCTCGGGACGTCGGCCGCGCTCCGTGGGAGGAGGAGGAGGAGGGCGAGGAGAGGGCGAGCGCCCGCGGCTCCCTCCGAGCACTGGGAGCCCCTGGTGGTCACTGGCCGGGCGGCGCCGTCCTCGCGCCCCAGCCCGTCCCACCCCTAGCGCACATGCGCAGTAGCCCGGGATTGGCCGAGCCCTAAGCCAGCGCCTCCACGTCGGGAGCGGCCGGCCCGGGCGGGAAAGGCGGGAGCCGGCGGGGACCGGCGGGGCGCGGAGGAGGGAACCGGAGAAGGGGGGCTGACGCGCTCCCGGAGCCGGCTGCGGAGCCCCTTCCGCGCGGACCCGGGTCCTGGGACAGCCCCGCCCCTGCACCCGGCCTCCGCTCCGCCTCCCCCGGTTCCCCGCAGCCCTCCGGGAACTCTATGTCTATTTGAACATTCCTAACCCCGGTGGGATCCGAACCTCTGCCCCACCTACCTTGATCAGGACCCAAAACGTGCGGGGCAGAAACGGGACGGCGGGCGAGAAGTAGCTTCAAGGTGACCCGCGCCCGCTCCCGCTCTGCCTTTAAGAGTTCCCTCGCTGGCCACAACTGTTTCTGCATAGCTCTGGTAGGTTCGATGCGACCTACGTCCGAACACGGACATCAGCTGCATAAAATAGTGATGTTGCAACGATGTCTATTTTTCTTTTTTTCTTTTTTTTTTTGTCGGCCGTGGGGCTTGAACTCTGGGCCTGGCGCTGTCCCTCAGCTCCTCAGCTCAAGGCGAGCGCTCTACCACTTGAGCCACAGCGCCACTTCCGGCTTTCTGGTGGTTTATTGGAGATAGGAGTCTCACGGTCTCTCCTGCCCGGGCTGGCTTTGAACCGCGATCCTCAGATCTCAGCCTCCTGATCCTCAGATCTCAGCCTCCTGAGTAGCTAGGATTACAGGCGTGAGCCATCAGCGCCCGGCTTATTTTTCTTATTATTTATTTATTTTGCCACTCCTGGGGCTTGAACTCAGGGCCTGGGCACCATCCCTGAGCTTCTGGCTCAAGGCCAGAGCTCTACCAGTTGAGCCACAGCACCACTTGCGGCTTTTCTGTGTATGTGGCCCTGAGGAACTGAAGCCAGGCCCAACGATATTTTTTTTTTTTTTTTTTAAAGCACCAGGAAAAAAGCCTGCACGGAAATCCCAGTCCTGTAAGCACAACTGTGAGTTGAGGGGCGGCTGCGAGGAGAGGAGGCAAACCTTAGAGGCCCAGGGATGAGGGGTCAGTACAAGTTGAGAGTCACTTGGCCTGTGAGAACAAAGCTTGCTGCCAGGCGCCTTTATAAAGCAGCTGGCAGCCATGAGCCCTGGGCTGGCTACTACGGAAAATTCAAGTCGCTTTTCTTGACTTTTCCTTTTGCCAAGTTCAGTTCTCTGCCCGCCTGCAAACTTCCCTCCAAAACTCCTTCCAGATAAAAGCCCACATCCTTATCGTGGGTCGCGGAGATCTCTATAATCTGACCCAGCCTTCCTCAACAATATCTTGCATAGTCCAAGCATAAGAAATGACCGTATTTCCTCCAAGGAAAAATGCTATCATAATGAATGCTCCCGAGCAACGGGACAGCTTTGAAACACAAGTAGATGGTATTTAGACAAGCCCGCCACTTTTACAAAGTCTAAGACCCGCGAGAGTTGTGTACTTGCACTTGTTAGGAAAATGACAGAGAAAGGAAAAGGAAAAAAAAAGCCCAACTCCATTGTAGGAGGCTAGGGCTGCTGAGCTCGGGGGAGGGGGGTGGGTCGGGGGTTTATAGAGTCTGAGCCAGGAGGCAGGCGATGCTTGAGTTTAGAATGGGGGGAGGTGAGTACAGACGGGGGCAGCGAATAGGGTAAATACTCCCTTATGCAATGTTCGTCTGTCTTGCTGGACCGTCCTAGGGTCCAGTTCTGTCTTCCAACCTCAATGGGAAGTTTACAGCCGGGCTCGGGTCGGATTGTCCTGCCTGCACCGAGCACCCTGAGCTTATCTGGGGTGACAGGGTGGAGGCCAACCGTTCACGTGTAGCTGATTAGTGGCCAATTTTTAACTTTTTCTGCAGCCCCTGAGTTGCGCACCAAGCCACGCCCTCGGGGGCGGAGCCTCTGGTACGCCTGCGCAGTGAGCCACTGCCGCCCAGACCTTTAATTTCAGGTGCTGCGCACGCCGGAGCTGCAGACCCACGCGCGGCTCCGTGTGCCCACCCGGCCCGCTCTGCACGGAGGTGCCTCACGCCGCCCGCCCCGCCATGTCGCCCACCAAACGCGTGGCGCTGGTGACCGGAGCCAACAAGGGCATCGGCTTCGCCATCACGCGCGAGCTGTGCCGCCAGTTCTCCGGGGACGTGGTGCTCACGGCGCGGGACGAGCCGCGGGGCCGGGCGGCCGTGCAGCAGCTGCAGGCCGAGGGCCTGAGCCCGCGCTTCCACCCGCTGGACATCGACGACCCGCAGAGCATCCGCGCCCTGCGCGACTTCCTGCTCAAGGAGTACGGGGGGCTCAACGTGCTGGTCAATAACGCGGGCATCGCCTTCAAGCGTAAGGGGGTCGGGGCGCGAGCTCCCCGGGAGCCTCCAGACGGGGTGGGCCGCGCGGGGCCGGGGCAGGGGGCTGGGGGGAACCGGGGGGCTCCCAGGGAGGCGCAGGAGTCTGGAAAAGTGTCAGCCACCCTGGGACCTCTAGGGATCACTTCCAGATTTCCTTCGCCCAGTTGCTCTGTAACTGGGCTTTAAGGACAGACAGCAGGACGAACTTTTTAACTGTTCTTGAAATAACAAGTTTAGGGAAAGAAAAAGCGCTCCCCCTAGCTCACCCACTTGTGCCATCGTATAAAACAGAATCTTACTTTAAAAAACAAAAATGGAGCATCATCAAACCAGATGGACGGTGGCACAATTGTGGAACTGGCATTTCCTTCACATACGCAGATTTTTTGGGGGGGGACGGGGGTCCGGTCGTGGGGCCTGAACTCTGGGCCTGGGCGCTGTCCCTCAGCTCTTCAGCTCAAGGCTAGCGCTCTACCACTTGAGCCACAGTGCCACTTCTGGCTTTTTTTTCTTTTTGCTTATGTGGTGCTGAGGAATCGAACCCAGGGCCTCATGCGTGCAAGGCAAGCGCTCTACCACTGAGCCACCTTCCCAGCCCCAACATACTCAGATTTCTAACAGGAGGGGACTGTGTCTCTGTTTAAGTCTATCCCTTGAATGAAGTTTGTGACTGTTATCGTTCTCCCCTGAAAGAGGCTGATCCCACGCCGTTTCATATTCAAGCGGAAGTGACCATGAAAACGAACTATTTTGGTACCAAAAATGTCAGCACCGAGCTACTCCCTCTAATGAAACCTCAAGGTGAGTGGGGGGAGGGGGAATCTGCCATGCCCACCTGGGCTTTTGTCCCTCTCACCCTGAAGCTGCAGCAGCAGCAGCCTTCCTGCTGATCCTCTAGCCTTCAGGCACAGCCATCTACTTTTTCCTCATCTTTGTGCCTCTAGCTCTTTTTTACCCTTCAAGTCTTGGTTCAAAGGTGTCCTGAGAACAGGTTTATCTGTTCCTACATTCCTTCACATGTGCTAGGCCCATTGGATTCACACTGTGTTCCCCTTTTCTGTTGCTGTGCTCCTAAGCAAGCTGGTGGAGCTTTCTCTACTGCCCAGACAGTAGACTGCCCACCTCAAGTTTGTTACCTACCTACAACACTCATAGCGACACACATATCTGTCTCCTGCCTCTACACCCCTGATGTCCATATCTATAACAGGCATTACCAGAAGGTTCTTTCCTTCTCCCTAACTCATCTTAGCCACTAGTATCCCTAAGGTTACTCTGCCCTGCCCCTTGAGAATTACTTTCCAAGTCCTCAGGTTGTGCCCCCTCAACGTCTTTCAGATCCCTCTTTCCTGCTTCTACAGCAGGACCTCAGCTCTCAGGTTGCACAATTGAGACCTTCCCACCCACCCCCAAAAGAGGCTCTCCTTCTTGAGCCTGGTCCTTTCCCAGGGTTCTATGCACTCTCTGCCTGGCTGCTCCCTTCCTAAAGATCCCTCAAGAGAGAACCCAAGCCCTTGGCATCATATAAAAGTTTCTCTATGTTCTGGTGACTTACCTCCTGGCATATTTTTGGTATCCACCAAAATAACAAACTATCCTGATTCTTTTACTGTACTTTTTTCTAATACTTCATCATTTAGAAACCAAGTCAACCACACCACTAATTAAACACACAGCAGTAAAGACCAGAGGTCACTTTTTAGATAAAGTGTAGGACAGAGTTGCTTCCCATCTTATTTATTCAAAAGGTTCCAGTGCTTCCAAACTCATCACTAGGACCAAAGGGAAGCTCTTCCCAATGTCATCTGCTTCCTTCACCTGCCCTGATCTTGAAAGCTGAATGGAAGGCCTTGGACTACAGCACCATCTGTGTGTAGTCTTCCAGTTCAGACTGCTAATTTTCTCTCCAATGGAAATTTGTAGAAATGTCCTGATCTAAACTCCTGTGTGATCGCTTGTGTTGTATTTTAGGCAGAGTGGTCAATGTGTCAAGCACCATGAGTGTGAGAGCCCTTAAAAGCTGCAGCCCAGAGCTGCAGGAGAAGTTTCGGAGTAAGACCATCACCGAGGAGGAGCTAACAGGGCTTATGAACAAGTTTGTGGAAGATACCAAGAAAGGAGTGCACCAACAGGAAGGCTGGCCCAACACTGCATATGGAGTGAGCAAGATTGGAGTCACAGTCTTGTCCAGAATCCATGCCAGAAAGCTCAACGAGCAGAGGAGTGGGGACAAAATCCTCCTGAATGCCTGCTGCCCAGGGTGGGTGAGAACCGACATGGCGGGACCCACCGCTACCAAAAGCCCAGAAGAAGGAGCAGAGACCCCTGTGTATTTGGCTCTCCTACCCCCAGATGCAGAGGGGCCTCATGGACAGTTTGTCACAGAGAAAAAAGTTGAAAAATGGTGAGCTCAGCTCTCCTCCACCTGTGGTCTATATTTTGATCCTTGACCTAATATGCCTTACTCCTAATATCCTTACTGAAAGAGAAGAAAAAAATCAAAATGTTCTTCTCATGTACTCTGTACTAATCTGCTACTAATTGAATAGATGATTGAATGGATAAATAACTAAATCTTCTTCAGTGAAACAGAAAGACAAAGATTAAATAAAATTTGAAAATACAGATGCCTGAATGGTCCATTTCTGCAATTCTTTTCAGGTAGAGTCAGCCTCTCAGCAGTACAAAGTTATAAGTGCAAAGTGTGACTCAAGCCATAGAACAGGAGTTTTGATCATAAAAGCTCAGGGACAGAGCCTGGGCCCTGAGTTCAAACACCAGGACTTGCACATGGCCCACATTCATACACAGACTTTTCACTAAACGAAAGCTGTCCTGACCCTTGCTGTGCCTTGTTAAATTTTATGTTTCCAAAGCTAGACTTTGTGTGTTTGTGTGTGTGTGTGTGTGTGTGTGTGTGTGTATACGTGCACACGCTTGGAGAGAATGTATCCAAGGGCATCTCTCTGGTTAGCAATTTAAGATGTAGGGAGGACATGATAATTTCATCTAGTCTACAATCATAAAAATATTTCCCCATGTATCACATTGTAACCAGAGTTCATGGATTCACCCCTTCATGAATGAACCACTGAGAAGCGCAGCCAGGAGACCTGAGAAGGACAGCAGGTTTGCTACTTGCAGCAAGGAGCATGCTGCTGAGAATTCTGAAGCCGTACAGGCCAACAAGTGGCTCTGATCCAGAAAGCTTCCATGCTGAGCATGCTGGAGAGAATTCCCAAGGCAGTGCAGCCCTGAACAGAGACAAGTGGCTCTGATCCAGAAAGCTTCTATGTGGTCACGTGGGGCAGACGCATTCTCACAGTTGGAGGTGGACCCTGGGTCCAACCTCCAGGCTCACTTGTTCAAGCAGTGAGTACAAAGGCCTCTGGGCAGTGATCACTCTTAGGAAGCCAAGCTTACTCTAGGTCACCGAAACATTAGGAGTCAGAGTGATTCAGCAATTTTAGAATGTTTCTCTAGAGAACTTTATCTGAAAAGAAACTTAAAAAACAACAACTGTGAAGGAGGGTAAGCCGTCATTTAAAAGGATAAAAGGCATAGTACCCAGCAGTTAACTATGTCTTCTGATGTAGCTGTATCTATAGATGGATGTATAGATATATGTAGCACACTCATTGTTAGAAAAATAGAGGAGAAAGGAAGGAAGCAGGCCGCACTCAATCTTCCACAGGCAAAAAGTGTTCATTGCGATATGACAGCACAGCACAGAGTCTTCCCCGCAGACAAGGATGCTCTGCAAGAGATGGGACAGGAGCTGGGCTTCTATGAGGCCTAGTAGGGAGGCAGAGGTTAATGAGAAAGCCACGAGTCTGGGTGGGGGAGGGTGCTTTTCTCTTGGGCCATGATGACATGTTTACAGCAAGGCTTCGGTAGATTTGCCCTGACTGCCTCGGTCTGTGCATATCTTTGGTGGCTTGCACCTTGGAAAACAGGGTGAGGCTCAGTCCTTCATATATGCATTCATATATATGCATATGTATATATTAGAATACATTGTATATATGTATATACATGTATACATATAGAGATATACATGTATATGCATATATATACATATATGTACATGGTACATATAGAAGACATGGTATATATAAATATCTATACATGTACGTGTACATATATGTACACATAAGCAGAAAAAAAAGCTGGAAGTCGCGCTGTGGCTCAAATGGTAGAGTGCTAGCCTTGAGCTGAAGAGCTGAGGGACAGCGCTCAGGTCCAGAGTTCAAGCCCAAGACTGGACCCCCCCCCAAAAAAAAAAATTGAATTGGAGATGTCATGCTATTTAGCCTTAGGAGAGCTTTTGCTACGGAGAATGCTCATTCTTGATTTCCTCTCTAAATGATTTAAGACACTCACCTTTGAGTAGCCTCTAAGTATGTCCCTAATGTGCTAAGTTTGAGGCATATCCTGTATATGGAAAGTTTAAGCTGACCGCTGAGCTGCTTCCTGAGATGGAAAATTCTGCTTGCACCTCAATATTCCCATATAAGGTCTGCTTTTGTTAAAGCTCGGTCTCCACCCTCAAGCATGTGGTTTTTGTCTTTAAAAGCTTTGTTCAAGCTCGCAGCTTCAGGTCTTTGACACAGGAGTCCACCTGTAGACACTGGATCAATAATATGATCTCTCAAAATGTGTTCTCTGTATTCTCATGGCCAAATCCCCATACAGCCATGGCAATATAGAGAAGAAAAAGGTAAGGTGCCTAGGGTATCTGTGACTAAAGGAACAAGGAAACAGGCAGAATCAAAAAGGGGCTCCCAGCACTGTGCCAGTTGCTGTAGGAACTGCTCAAGGAAGGCACCGTAGCCCCAGTGTTCAGGGAGAAAAGCTGATGAGTACCAACAGTCAGACTCCAGCGCCATTTGTGGTATCTCAACCTGCAAAGGGCAACAAGCTTGCCAGAGGATACCTGCGCACCTTTGAGCCAGGCCTTCCAATACTTCAGTAATCACCAACAATCTTTGTTTACTGTGACTCCCAGAAGACACCTGCCTTCAATGAAAGAAGACATTAACTGAGCCGGGCGCTGGTGGCTCACGCCTGTAATCCTAGCTACACAGGAGGCTGAGATCTGAGAATGGCAGTTCAAAGCCAGCCCGGGCAGTAAAGTCCGTAAGACATTTTTTTTTTTGGGGGGGGGGGGTCCAGTCGTGGGGCCTGAACTCTGGGCCTGGGCACTGTCCCTCAGCTCTTCAGCTCAAGGCTAGCACTTAGCACTTGAACCACAGTGCCACTTCCGGCTTTTTTTCTTTTTGCTTATGTGGTGCTGGGGAATGGAACCCAGGGCCTCATGCATGCAAGGCAAGCGCTCTACCACTGAGCCATCTTCCCACCCCCTATGAGACTCTTACCTCCAATAAACCACTAGTAAACCGGAAGTGGCACTGTGGCTCAAACTGTAGAGTGCTCACCTTGAGCTGAAGAGCACAGGGACAGCGCCCAAGCCCAGAGTTCAAGCCCTACAACCAACAACAACAACAAAAAAAGACATTAACTGAAGACTCTCAGCTGTGTAATGAATGGAAGGTTAATCAGAGAGTTGGAGGCTGGGCTCAGGTGAGCACTAAGCTTTAGATATTGAGTTCAAGTCCTGGTCTCAGACACCCCCCACCCTCACCCCCCCAAAAAAAGGAGAAGAAGGAGAAGAAGAAGGGGAAAAAGAAGGAGGAGGAGGAAGTGGAGGAGGTTGATCAGCAGAGAGCTGTTCCACACTTGTGCTCCACACTTGGATGTTAAGGAAATGTTCATTCCTGTCTGACCTTAAGTACAGAAGATCAGAGCAGAGGGATATGAAGTGAGATGAGCTTTGAAGCATGGTCCAGTGTTGAAGCCAGCAGTTAAATAAAATTATCCCTGCTAGCCATGAGACCTTCAGATTAACCAGTCCCTCTGGCCTTCCCAGATTATATTTCTCATATCATCTTTATGTTTATTGTCTTTATGCAAAGGCTTTAGTTCTGAAAAATAGATACTAAATATTAGGGCTTAAGTCCTGTAATAGAAGTTGAACCAAAATACCTGTGGTGTTTCACAACCCAATGGCCACCACATAAGACCATAACTATCTTCCTTTGTCTTCCTGTCAGGCTAGCTTCGTCTCTGCGTGTGGCCCTAGGTTTTAAATGTGCTCTCCAAGAACCACTGGAATCACAACAGTAGACTCCAAAATAAAGAATTGTCTCAGCAAAGCAAAACCCCTCTGATGTAGAAGGGCACACCATCAGCTAAAAAGCTGGCAAGCCAGCACACAAAGCAAAGTCTGCTCTGAATCCTACCACAGCAGGACCCACCCCTCTGCTCAGATTGGTTGCACTCAGGTTCACAGTCTGCTCCTGATTATCTAGTTTGAATAGGGTAAAGTGTGTTTACATAAGATGGTTTTGAAATAAGATTAAGAGAACACAAGTAATCTCAAAGTACACTCACACCCTCTGCGATTTCTTGAACAGTCTGGATGTGTCTTAATGGCATTTTGAAAAAAAAAAAAACCAAGTTTAAGACAAAAGCTTATTTTATTTTATTTTTTTTTTTGGGGGGGGGGGTCTGGTCGTGGGGCCTGAACTCTGGGCCTGGCACTGTCACTGTTAAATTCTGTTTGTCAAAATTTGCCTTGTATTTTGTTTGGTATTGCCTACTTTTCCAACATTGACCACGTGGTTTTATCATATTGGGCAAAACAATATCACTTTGCCACTGGAATTCCAAAAAACTTATGGCCAATTTTCATTTTTTTAAAAAAAAACTTGTGTGCCTTGAAACGTTTATTTAAGTGTGTATATGTATGTGTGTGAACATGTTCAACATAATCTCATTGTAATACCTAAAAACTGTGTAAAAAGTTATCTTCTTCTATTTCTTGGTACTGATATTGCCTATCAAAAGTGTTGTTTGTTTTAAAGGAAACATCTTTATCAAGGGTAGTAGTAAAAGGAATGAGACCCAGCTCAGCTCCTAGCCAGCTGTGATAAAAAAACACCAGTAAGGAGATAAGAATTGTCTTACAATGTTTGTTCCTAGGGCTGGGAAGATGTCTCAGTGGTAGAATGCTTGCCTTGCATGCATGTGGTCCTGGGTTCAATTCCTCAGCACCACATAAGCAGAAAAAGCCAGAAGTGGTACTGTGGCTCAAGTGGTAGAGCACTAGTCTTGAGCTGAAGAGCTGAGGGACAGTGCCCAGGCCCAGAGTTCAGGCCTCACAACCAAAAATAAATAAATAAATAAAAATAAGAAGTTTGTTCCACGTATTTGTTTCTGTCTCAGAAAGTTTGAGTATGTAGCAGATGATATGAGTATGCCTTAAAAGACAGAGCTTATGAATAAAATTGGTATGTAATTGTTGGCTGTGATTTACATTAAAATTAGCATATCATTCTTTATGTCCATCTAAAGTCAAGTGTCTTTAACCAGTCTGTGTATAAATTTGTAAGCAACTAAGCAGGAGATTTGAGAATCCATCCGAAGGTCGCAGTGTAGCCCAGATCCTGCTTGGACCATCCTGCCTACCTTCACCATGGTAGATTGGACTCCTGCCTGACTGCAGGAGTCAGCTGATTCTTGGTAAAAGACTGCTTTAGATTTACACAAACCAAGACTCTTGT